CTTTTCAGAAGTGTGGTACTTGCAAAAGTCAATGTGAAAATAGAAACCCCGCAAGAGCCGACACTCAGGAAACGATGGCCCTATTCACTGAATGTCGTGTTCCGATTGGTTTTGAATTGAAAATCCAGAACTGTTCACATACTTGAAGGTCAATTTCTAAGATTCATGAAAATGTTTCATGTTCAATGAAAATCAAGAGACACTTCTAATTCCTTGGTGGAGTTCTAAACATTCTCCTTTAGACCATATACCTACAGCTTATTAAGTATTACTTGTCAAATATGGAAATTGCTACATTGTAATTTCACGCATTTTGCGCAGGTCTTTGTTAGTACATACATGTGTACTAGCGGGATGCGATCCTTGTTGTCTAGGGGTCATTTGCGTCCGAAATAGAAAATGTACGTGTTACCTTCTCCATATTCATGGATTGATAGGCTAGAGTATACCACCCAGGGATAGTCAGCACGACAGCGTTATCCAATCTCTTAAGAAAGGAGCGTCGAGGAATATTTAGGCCACCTACGATGTATGAACGAGGAAATGCGAGGCAGTCACACCAATGTCCTGTCCGTCCGTGTGTCACTCACATGGACGGACAGGACGGGACTATAATTGGTCTCTTTCATTTCAGGAAAGGAGGACCACTAAAAAGAAACTCGAAAGGAGGAAATATTGAGTTCAGCAAAGATGCATCTTTTATTACTGTCACAATTTTCATGTCTTTTGTACATGGCATTCACGATGTTTAAGACTAAATCAACTCAATAACTACCTTTGAAGCAAAGAATTAGATGGGTTGTTTCTCCTCCTAGCTTGCATTATTAGCAATAGCTCCTGCTTCTAATAGCAATGCCAGGGTGAGAAACGATTTCGTAAACCTAGCATTACAATATAACAGATGACGAAACATGAAACAGTGATATGGCTGAATGCTTGAGGCAATCTCATTGGAAAACTACGGCATGATAGGAAAAAAGAAGCCCACTGATTTTCCTTAGTCGGCTTTTCCTCCTTCTTCTTAATCGATGCCTAATGATCCCAACTCCCGTATATATGACCAGCGGGCGCACGTTGCTTGACGACAAGGGAACGCAGACATGGTTTTTTCTTTGCGACAGGAAGAATAGGGAGACACATTGATGCATCGATCGACAGGTAATATGATGTGGTGGACCGTTATAAGAATTCATTATTTTACTTAAGCTGGCCCGACAGGTAGGCAGGGAAGGTAGATAAATGAATAGTACAGAGAGCCCTAGTAGCGCACAACATTGAAGCAACGTTGAATTCATCAAGTTGATTCAATGTTTTGCGCTATTTGGGAGGTTGACTGTGAGCTAGGCCCTAGTTCTTAGGGCTCCGAAGGCCTGAACATATTTTCCTCTGAATTAAAAAAAAAAATACTTTTTGTACGCACAATAATCCCCACTTGAGCAAAATGATTTTGATTCGCTAAAAAATTAATTTAAATTATTTAAAATATTCCCGCATACCACGAAGAAAGCTACGACAATAAGTTCCGATCACCAGCGAACTTTGTGGAATATTGTCCTTCTCTTTCCCGCTCCTCCAAAACCGAAATGTTCTTGTATGTGAAGGATGTTTTGAAGTTCAACCCGAATGGGCATTCGGAGTTCGACATTGGGATTCTCCAAGGAGATGTGTGAAAGCAGGCTGACGAGTGGAGGAAGTAGAATAATTCATTAAGAAAATTGGTGCAGCCCAAGGTCTCATGCTTAGAAATTTTAATCTCCATGTATTATGGAATCCTTTTTCCTGTTATCATCGTCACAATTTCCCTGTCTTCGGACATGGCACTCGCGATGTTGAAGACTAATCACTTCCAAAACTACCATTCAAACCATATTTTACGGATTGTTTCTCCTCCTTGCTTGCATTGTCAAGAAGGGCTCCTGCCTACAATGCAAAGGGTAAGAAACGATTGTGTACCCCAAGCGAAACAATATATAACTCATGGTAATAAAACATGAAACAGTGAGAATATGACTAAAAAATAAATGTAAAACGGCGGCATGATAGAAGGGAAAGGTGCCGCTATTTTTCCTTATTCGGCTTTTCCTCCTTCCCCATGATCGATGCATGCCGACCGACTCCTGTCGATAGACGACGTGCATCAATAAGTGCACATCGCTTAGCGACAAGCACATGCATCGCTTTTCCGGTTTAACACTTCCAAGAACAGGGTGACGCATTTATACCATTATTTCAGCAGTGAAAAGGCGCATAAGACCATCAGCGCTGCACATGCCAGAGACTTCCTTTGAACGCCCGGGAATGGTTTTCCTCTAAGATTGAGCTTGTTGCGGCTCTTACTTTCCTCAACTTTTCATCAATCGATGAAAATTCATGTTTATGCATATTGATTTAATAGGAGATCATGCGTGACATATCACAAATCAAAACATCACTGGAAATTACGAAATATTGAATGAATAAAGGAAACATTCACGTCACACATTCATGATAAAGTATGCTCCCTTACGAAAATGTCTTATAGGATTCCTATATATTCCTTTAGGAATCTATAGGAATCCTATAGGAACCTAAAGGAATCCTATAGGATCCTATATGACCTATAGAGTTCAGTTTGGGACCTATAGAGTCCCCTATTGAACCTATAGAGTCCCCTATAGAACCTATAGATCCCCCTATAGAACCAATAGGGTTCCCTATAGAACCAAAATCTAAAGGAATCCTATAGGATCTAATCTGAACTATAGAGTTCAGTTTGGGACCTATAGAGTCCCCTATTGAACCTATAGAGTCCCCTATAGAACCTATAGATCCCCCTATAGAACCAATAGGGTTCCCTATAGAACCAAAGGGGTTCCCCATAAGCCCTATAGGTTCCCTATAGGAACCAAACGGTTCTGTATAGAACCCGTAGGGTTCCCTATAAAACCTATAGAGTTCCCTATAGGACCTGTAGGGTTCGCAATAGGACCTATAGGATTCTCTATAAGACCTATAGGATTCTCTATAGGACCTATAGGGCTCCCTATAGGGCCTATAGGGTTCCCTATAAGACCTATAGGACCTATAGGGTTCCCTATAGGGCTTATAAGGAACCCTATAGGCCTATAGGGTTCCGTTTGAAGTTCTCCTCTAGGCCACCAGATGGAAGTATTGGGTTCTCACATTTCTCAAATGGCACAAAAGTGCCCTCCCCTTACCCAAGGAATCATCTCTCACAAGAGAGTTTCGTACGTCCCCAAATGTCGCGCCTTGCCTCATTGTAGCAATCAATAAACTTCGACAGTTCCTTATTTGTCATCCCCACCTTCCAGATAGAATCATGGAGTCCCGTGAAGAAATATGCCCTTATTCCTTTTGAAAAGCACGTACGAAACACAGTAGACTCTTTCCAAATGGAGTTCCAGTAAAGAGACGTGCTCGCAGGTTCTGTCGTTCATTTCCTGAGGTCGAGAGAAGGAATACTATTTCTTCCTACCGAAGGAAGCTGACGTGCAATCCAGCGACACATGTGGGTCGGGCCATAAATTATGCAGACTCCCGCACTACTGGTTTTAATAATGCAAGTGTCCCTACCATGGAAAAACCCATAATCCATTTTTTTTATTTACTCCGGAATGCTGCGCCAATATTAACCCCTGTCGCCTTTTCCGTCGTGATGCCTGGGTTTCGAAACCCAAAATATCCTCCCCGAATTCTATAGGTCAGGAGACCTATAAGACCCTATAGGGTTCCTATAGGATCCTAAATGATCCTATAGGTTTTTCGTGTTTCAAAAACCTATAGGAAAGTCTATAGGTTTCCTATAATAAATAACTATAGGTTTCCTATAGGACATTTCCGTAAGGGTTTATTTTTCGTCCTTGCGACAAAGGAGCGAACTAAGCTTGGGATTAAGTAGAGCAGGCCTTTTCATCTGATCCATATGAATTATAACTCCATGAAGACGTTGAAAAACTCATCCTTCAACTTGGCCTTTCGGCTGGGCTGGGGCAAGGGCTGGGCACGTCCCATCCGATGGAAGGGCCGACGGTCAACGCACGTCCCATCCGATGGAAGAGGCCGACGGTCAACGCTCAAGCGTTTCGTGAAAAGGAGGCACAGTCGCACTCCACGTCGGCGTGGATCTGCGCTCTTGTGCCTGACCTTGGTGGTCTATTGGGCAAAAACGAAACTTCTGGAATTATGCAAAAAATTAATGGATATGATGTACTCATTTAATCCAATTAATGCAATGCCTAATAATTCCCGTATTATTGCAATCTGCCTTTATCCCGATTGCACAAAGAATGAGGAACGCAGGTGCAAATCAATAGTAGGGGTAGGGCTACGCCTCCGTTTATTCTGGAATACCCCATCCAAGTATTGTTTCCTTGTGTTTCTTATCGCGACACCACCCGATGTTTACCCTTCTCGGTACCGAATTTTGTCAAGCATCTTCATTGCACACATTTCATGAAATCAATGTTTCTCTACTGGACGTGCCGGAATGTAATGCTGTGAAATACCGAAGCAGAAATATTCTGCACGCATGACCACGCGCTTGAAAGCCAAAGGACCAGATTTCGAGCCATTCGAATCGCTTGCTAATTCAATGCGGAAGACCTGACTGATTTTGGCTCATCCTAATACAGAATACAACGATGAACTAGAAGAATATGGACGATTGAACGAGCACTCGACTTCGACTCTCAGTGTCGAGGTGAAACGCCACGAAACGATCGGCAACTGACGAACCAGCCATAGGAAAACCCGTTTTGTGGGATAGGTAGCGAGACGCCATGGAGCGGCGATCGTTCTCGTTGCATAGTTCATGAAGGATGACTCGTAATTTCCCGTGTCAATTCCAAAGAAATTGCACGCCTAATGCCCACTCTGGCATGACAGAAAGGTGGTCACCGTAGTTACAGATCGATCCGTTGTTTTAGCTGTACGAATCGATGACGGCAGACGACGCCCAAGGAAAATTCGCCGCAACGACCCCTTACCACGCACTCCTCCCTCTCGAAGGAAGCCGCGAAGATGCTGCGAGTCAGAGCTCCAGGCTCTCGAGCCCTACGGCTCTTCACCGTCCTCCCCTTCCTCCCCTTACTCCTCCCCTCCAGGACTGCTGGCTACTGGACTCCTCCGCGCCTGTTCCCCTGCCCCGATCCCGAAGCCGTTTCGCCCTGCAGCTGCGATTCATATGGCCAAGTTGAGTGTTCGTTTGCAAATAGCAGCGAAGAGATCTTCTCGGCATTCAACGACGTCATCTGGCCCTCCACTCAGCAATTGTGAGTGAATGAGGAGGAGATTGTCATTAAAATGTCTTGAAATAATCTTCTTACTTAAACGGCCATATCTTCTGTAATTGTAATTGGATTTGGATATGGGATTTGAGCTTGGAGTTCCATCTATCACATGACATCGTCATATTTCAACAAAAAAAAATTCTCAGCAGGAGAGGTGCAGCAAGTTACCACCGCACTGGTCGTACATTGTACCCCGGACGGCCGCATATGACGCGGCAGCCGGACATACAGTGTACGTCGCACGAATATGAAGGGTTAATCGAGTAGGAGGATCAATGATGGGATGAGGAAGTTTGTGCGTATCGATCGATAGAAAGAACCCCTTTAGAGCGATTGGTACTGGGAGAAACCACACGAACTTTTGAAATGACTTCGCCTTCACTGATATTCCTTGGTGGTGCCCCAAAGACTTTCCCCGGGAGTCTAATTCGTTCGTAGCTGAACCATAATGACAAAAACACGCTGAGGGGGGAAATGAAATTCATATTGTCCCTCGCATCGACTTGGACCGCGAATGAGTTCGAAGGAATCGATGGAGCACATCCATGACGTCATTGGTGACGTCATCTCCATCTAACCCGGGAATCGATACACGTCACGCGTGAGAGAGACGTCTTACTTTCCCCATGGAAAAGTAGCGGTGTTATGAAGCCGACATTTTGATAGACCCTAATGGATTCGAATATCCACGGTTTTTTCCCGAGACGCATCATGCCCGAATACACTATGGTGCTGAGTCTTTTGTAGCGGTTAATGTTTACAATCAAGTACTACCTAATTAGCAGTGCAATATGAGCGAATGGAAGCTATCCGATACTTGAAAAGGCTTTAGACATAAGCAAACGGCACGCGATGCTCCAATTCTTCCTCCAAGTCCACCCGAGGCAGACTCACGGACGTCATAGCGGAATTGTTTGCTGCTTTCACAGTCGGTTGAACATTTTCAAATGCTTTCACACGGCCATTATGAGAGTCTTCGCTTTTTTTGTAAGGTTCACATTGACTCATTGAATTATGTTCGAGGCAGCTCTGAGCCCGAACGGAAAAAAATATCGAATCCAGAGCGGACATTGCCAACGGTTTCCTCATTCCCCCGAAGAAGTACTAGAATTTCAGATTATTCCAGGGAGGAAATTCTTCCTACAAATCCGAGTAAAATGGATCGTAGGTGTGGCTTTCTCCTTTAAAGATAGTCACTGAATTAGGTTGGAAAATGGCACCCTAGCATTCAAATTGGTATGAGACTGTAAATCTGTAACATTTTACTAAACTTTTTCCTGATGTTATTTGGCACGTTCAAAATGCGAAATTGTTCAAAATGTCGGTATTGCAGTCATATAGAGACATATGATGGGTAGGGAACGAATAGTGCCTACCAAAGAACCAACCAATGTCACAGAATAAAGGTTGGTGTCAGTTCTCAACTCCTTTACACATTGTCCTCCTGTGAGATCATTCAGAATTATTTCGGCATGAATGAAGCCGTACCTCTAACCTCCTTGCCTCTAGCCTTCTTGGTCCTAACATTCTTGCCTCTCCCCACCCCTTACCTAACGTCTGATCGGCGTCTAATGTCCACATTCCAGATACACGTTCGATCTTCAGCCTGTACTTTTATCATAACTCTGCAGTACATTCGAAGGAAGAACTAAGACGGGAATGCTACATGGGATACACCCAAATGTAACGATTAACTGACTGCGAAGGACGGCGAATAATGTTTAGAAAAATGGTTTCTGAAACGAGAGAAAATGGAGACGTGTTCTCATCCTTTTTTAATATTGCAGGCAATTCTTTCTAAGAGGCACTCAGGGGATGAAGAACCTCCCAGAAGGAATCTTTGGGAATGTCACATTCCAGGAAATGTTCATCTCGGACACGAGCTTGGAAACGGTGGA